AACACTTAATGTCAAAAGCTGTGTTACTATAATGAATTTTAGGTTTAATTTTGGCGTGTTGTATGATATTTTTGTGTTTCCGTGACGTTAAAAGATATGAAGAGATCGCGCGGTCTCTCTCTTTTATAAGCCAATGCTTACTACGACGAAACGTGTAATGTAAACCACAGTAACATTAATACGCTTATTTGAAGTTAACATGGGCATGTTGAATGGGTTTTTGCGTGTGCAAACTTTTGCAATTGTCCCGTGAAGTTAAAAGTCGACATTAAACGTGACTAACAACCAGGCTCTTTACCCACAATTATACTGTCTGAAATGAATAAATTAACAAAAATTATTTCTGAAGCTTGGACTCCTAAACATTATATCACTCACAGGTAAGTTTGTTTTTATTGTAAACAAAATGATCACAGATAATAGTTTTGATATACTCTGCCTTACTGAAACCTGGCTTAAACCTAATGATTATTTTGGTCTAAATGAGTCTACTTCTCCAGGCTACTGTTATAAGCACAAGCCCCGTCTGATTGTTCGTGGCGGCGGTGTCGCAACGATATATAGAGATATTATTAATGTTACTCAGAAAACAGGACATTGTGGTGGCTTCTGCCGCTGCTGTGAGGAATCATTCTTAAATTGTATTATTCAGAGACAATAAAACCGAGAAAGATCTGCAGAACAATCTATAGAGTCTGTGTCTGTACTCTCTTTTATACAGTGCTTCCCGAAGGCGTGCCCATGTTCATTCAATACATTTCATACATATGGTTATTGTTTATCAACTCTTTTACCTCTTTTGGCTGTGTCTCCAGCAATGTTGGGCAAAGTTACTTTTAAACGTAATGCATTACAATATTGCGTTACTCCCTAAAAAAGTAACTAATTACGTTACTTAGTTACTTTTTATGGAAAGTAATGCGTTATATTACTTTTGCGTTACTTTCGCGTTACTTTTTAAATATAAGCAGGGCTACACGATTATATAACTTGATACATAAATGGCTAGATTCACTTCGATTATACTTGATTAGTTCATATTTTGCATATTTTGTAGCACAATTGTTAGTTTCTCTAAAGTCATTTTTGCTTATTAGTATGGTTGAACTGGATCATCAAAGGTCAGCAGCAAAGATATTGGTTAATTTGGTTAATATAGATACATTTGTGTTATTTAACATATTTAATTATTGCAGGTTTGCGTCATATTCTGAGTATTCTGAGTTTTGTTTTAATTCATTTTGATGAATACTAAATCTGTTTTTTTGTGAGTGGGATGAATTAATGCACATTCACATTTAGTCTAGAACTACAGTAACATCATGTTCACAAAGCGCACACAACGCCTCTGCCGTCAAAAATTTAACTACGTCATTTGTGCATATAAGGTTAAGGGTGTGGGATGCACATCGGTGATGTGGAGGGAGAATATACCTTTCGCTGGTCTCACTGTCATCCCGTAAGACTTCGTGCAAGGCTGTAAAGATGACCTCGTCTTCATTATTCTCTGCTTCATCATCATCAGCTTGAAACATTCTGAATGCCTTTACAAAGTTCGCGCCATTGTCCGTGACAGTGGCAGTTATCTTACCACAAAGAGCAAATGAGCTGTGAATTTGCTCTATCTCCGCTGCGATGGCATCGTACGTGTGTCTCCCACGAAATCGCCTGCAGGCGATTGCAGCTTTTTGGCGATGCAGACTAGCAGGGTCGATCCAGTGTACAGTAATGCCCAGAAAACTTTTATTCTGAGCAGTCCATAGATCTGCAGTGGTGGAAACATATTCCAGGTCGGCAAAAGTTTTCTTTAGGCCTGTCTCCATTTCCATATATGCATTGTCCAAAAAGTTTGTAAAGGTTTTGCAATCGGGCAGCACGCCCCCCGTCCTTTTGCCTGTCACTGAGATTTTGCTTATGATATTACGAAATGTAGGCGCCTCCACAGTGGATAGTGGCTGCATCTCCTCGACAATAAAAGCAGCAACCAATTTGTTGAGTTCAGTCGAACTAATTGTTTTACCTGGTGAAGGTGAACTGAAATCAAGCTTTTGTTGTTTAGCTTGAGGCGGGGTGCAGGTATCATTCGGCTCTTTCTCGTCCATCTCTGTTGTGCTGTGCTTTGCATGCAGATGTTTTTTTAAATTTGAAGTGGTGTTTTTTGCAGTTGACAAGAGTTTTTCACCTACACATAATCTACACTTAACGACAATCCCCTTCTCCCTTTCTTCGACGAGTTCAAAATAATTAGAATACTTCCATCGCAGAAATGTAAAGCTCTGACCTGCCATCTCCGTTTCTGACTATGTCTGTTCCCGCGCACGCATTGAGTGCGTGATTCTACGTGATTACGTTCATTTTAATTAAGTAATTACATTTTTTTTAAAGCAAATTAATTAAACTGAAAAAAGTAACTCGCGTTACTTTTTTTAAAAAGTAACTCGAATATTCATGTGTAAATTTATAAAGTAATGCGTTACTTTACTAGTTACTTCAGAAAAGTAATATTATTACGTAACGCACGTTACTTGTAACGCGTTACCCCCAACACTAGCCACAGCCTTAGATGAAATCAACACAACATAAAAGCCTTATCCATCCCTGAATTGCACCCACATCAATCTCATCACATGCCTCTTCCATGGCCTGCACAAGAGGCATGCGCACAAAGGGCTGCCGGTCGTATACCTTCCACCGCCATGCCGAAAAGAACTCTTCTATGGGGTTCAGAAATGGTGAGTATGGTGGGAGGTATTGCACAAGAAATGTTGGGTGGTCAGCAAACCAGTTTTGGACTGGGGCTGCACGATGAAAGCTCACGTTGTCCCATACTACAACGTACCGGTTTCTTTGATGGTCTGCATCATTCATACGCTCTGGTGGTATGAGAATGTTTTGAAGTCTGTCCAGAAATGTGAGAATATGGGCTGTGTTGTATGGTCCAAGGTTGGCATGACGGTGGAGGACACCATGCATACTGGAGATGGCAGCGCACAGTGTGATGTTCCCACCACGTTGGCCAGGAACATCTATAATGGCTCTGTGGCCAATGACGTTTCTCCCCCTTCTTCTGGTCTTTGCTAGGTTGAACCCAGCCTCATCTATAAAGATGAACTCATGTGGGATTGCATGAGCATCCATTTCCAGTACTCCCTGAAAACAAAGAACAAAAATCAGTCAATATGGTGTTATCCAGTACACTGGGAAACAATGTTGCGTGTAGTGTACTGCAGTCAATATAGTACTTACATCCACATATGCTCGTCTGAACTCTTTGTTTCTTTGAGAGTTTCTCTCAAATGGCACCTTATAAAGTTGTTTCATTCTGATTTGGTTTCGCTTGAGAATGCGAGCCAATGTGGACAGACTGACTCGTTGAATGTTGTTGAATAAGGTGTTGTCTTGGATGATGTGGCTTTGAATTTCTCGTAATCTGATTTCATTATTTTCCAAAACCAAGTTTACAATGGCAGCTTCCTGTACCCCGGTGAACATTTGGCCCCTTCCTCCACCATGGTGTCGTCTCTCAGTCCTTCAGAAAAAATAAAATAAAAATATATATAGGGCTTGGACAATGCAGCCTAAATATTTTCCCCCACAGTAGAGTACATTGTACAGGAAACTTGTACAGTTCATGAATGGCTGATGTCATACACTATGTAAACAGGTGTCACCCAACAGATACACTATGACATGGGGTATACTACATGTGTACTACATGAAATTTTGGTTACATACCTGTTCTCCAGTCTAAAGGTCCGGATGACAGAGGCGACAGTAAAACGGCTCAAGTTTGGCTGCACTCGCTGTCCAGCCTCACGCATTGTCAGCCCATGGTTGATGACATGATCTACTAAGGTTGCTCTGATTTCATTTGAAAGTGTTTGTCTTCTTTGGCCATGAACTCCTCTACCTGCTCTACCCCTACCTCTCACTCTTCCTCCCCCTCTTATTCTCAACCTCCCTCTTCCTCTTCCTCTTCCTCTCTCTGCAATGTCTTCCATTGTGGTTGTAAAAAAAAGGTTCTCACCTGTGGTCTTTTCACAGTGCTTACATCCTGATTGAAGTGTTAACAATTAACCATTGAGGTGTTTGGCCAGGTGGCACATGTAATTGGCCAATTAGCTCATGTAGTGTCATTTTGAATGGCAGTGTTTTGAAATGGCAAACATGTGACTTTATGTCAGATTGTTGTGTCTTATGCAGAGAACTGTGTTCAGTGCATTTAAAAAGTGCCATTTTGAAATGCAAAATGTGTGTAAAGCAGAAAATGTGTTTAGACTTTTGGAGACTTGAGAAGAAGTTTTGCTCTCTGTGTGTCAGTTTAAATAATTGTGCTGTGTATGTCATTTTAGTGTGTTAGCAATTGGAAAAAATTGTAATAAAGCATTGATTGTCCGAGATTTTAACATTCACATTGATAATAAAAATTATGCATTAGGGGTTGCATTTACAGATTTACTAAACTCATTTGGGTTCAAGCAAAACGTCATTAGACCCACTCACCGTCTCAATCATACACTAGACTTAATTATATCGCATGGAACCAATCTTACTGATATAGACGTGATAGAGCAAAGTGATGATGTTACTGATCACTACCTTGTAACTTGTGTACTTACAGTTTTTTATGATTGCTTACACACTAAAATTAAAAATAACACACAGTTAGTGAAACCTTACACTCAAAGAGCAAAACCTCAGCCCAAATCTGCACAACTATAAGCACATTCTCAGCCTCCCACTTTTTGCAAAACATTACACACATTGTTTTGCAAGATACTAAACACACTTCTCTACATTAGACACAGAAATCTAACATGATGTCACTTCTTTGCCATTTTAAGGCACTGCTTTCCAAAATACTACACATATGAACTAATTGATCAAACACAGCCTTCAGGTGTGCAGACACTTAGGTGCTTAACTGTAAACTCTACAATCAAGGTGTAAGCGCTATAAAAAGGCAACAGGTGAATTTTTGTCTTCAACAGAAATGAAAGGCAGTGGTGCAGGAAGAGGAAGAGGAATAGGGAGAAACATATTTGGCCTCAGAGCTCTTTTGAATGTCCCGGGTCAATGTGGTGGTAACATCACAATATATGCTGCAATCATGCAGAATGGGGTCCTCCACCGGCATGCCAAAATAGGTCCTTACAACATCGACCACATACTCACGTTTTTAGACAGACTAAGTATTGTACAGACTAAGTGTCTTGTTCCATTATTCAAGTACCTCCCACAACATTCTCCCTTCCTTTCCTTTTCCCCTTCTGCGTGGCAGTGGAAGGTTTATGACCTCCGACCCTATGTTATACCCCTCATTCAAGCTATGGAGGAGTCTGTGTAAGGATGGATTCACCATTCGAGAAGATTCTTCCCTCACTGTCCTGCGAGGGAGGACATTGACTGTGATATGGATGAAGTGGCCATATCCAGCTATACGAAGAGATGATGCTAAGGTTTTTTTTTCTCATCTCCACAAAAGTTTATGTGCTACTGTATATTGTATTTGGAATATGTTCTGATTTTCAGTGCAAAATGCAGCCTAATTGCAATGATGTACTGAAGGATTTTACAATATGGTGAGAAATAAATATTTTCATGAATGTGCAGTACTTGCCTCATGTGTTTTGTTTAGTCAATATATTCATGTACTTTAACAATATCTAAAAAAAACTGGGTAACACTTTCTACGAAGTCCGTATTTATAATACATTATAAGGGTATTCTTAAGGCATTATAATGAATGCATAATGCATTATAAAAAAACTTATAATATGTTATATCAACTCATGAATAATCATAACAACAATTATAATAAATCATATACGGAAAAATCAATTAAAGACGTAATCAAACAGACGATGAACACTATTAACAGCAATTATTATATGATGCAATCAAACTTATAGCAAAATGTGGTAGTTCTGTATGTTGTTTCAGGGTTGGCATCATCTGAGGTCCTCTGAGGGGTTGGCATCATCTCTTCTCAGGTGTTCTGGATCCAGACTGAATCTTGTGTAAATCCTAGTTACCACGGGATGTCAAAGAAACAAAGAAACAAATAGAGACATAATTAATGTAGCTGCTGTTCCAACCAAGCAAAATTGATTTGTTTAACCCAAACTAAAGAATAATAATGTGCATTTGATCAGATATAACTGCAGTACAAGATTATGATATGCATTATTTGAATGCTTGGCCAAAGAGATGTGTCTTTAATCTAGATTTAAACAGAGAGAGTGTGTCTGAACCCCGAACATTATCAGGAAGGCTATTCCAGAGTTTGGGAGCCAAATGCGAAAAAGCTCTTCCTCCTTTAGTGGACTTTGCTATCCTAGGTACTACCAAAAGTCCAGAGTTTTGCGACCTTAGGGAGCGTGATGGATTGTAGCGAGGTAGAAGAAAGTGTTACCAAAAACTGTATCAAAAATAGAAATGTGAAAAGTGAAAAAAATAGAAAAGTGTTTAAGATTGTGCACAGCAGTGTCTAAGTGGTTCATTTTGCAAAATATCTGAGATGTTCTGATACTTGTGTGTGTGGATGTGTGAATTGTGTGTAGTGTTTTGACAAAATGAGCCTTGTTTTTAAAATTGTGCCTAAGCAATCGTAAAAAACTGTAATACCACTGATACTTGTCATATCGTTCCGCGTTATCGACTAGGTAGAACAATTATCCCAACCACTAAAGATAGATTCACAAATAACCTGCCTGATCTGTCTCAGCTGCTCAGTGTTCCCATAGACACAAATGAACTAGATGAAATGACTAGCAGTATGGGCACAGTCTTCTCTAGTACATTAGATACCGTTGCACCCATCAGATTAAAAAAGGTCGGAGAGAAAAATACTGCACCATGGTACAACAGTAATACTCAGGATCTCAAGAGAGATACTCGCAACCTGGAGTGTAAATGGAAACAAACTAATTTAGAGGTCTTTAAAATCGCATGGAAAGAAAGCATATCCCTCTACAAAAAGGCTCTAAAAGCAGCCAGGGTCGAGCATTTCCGCAAATTCATAGAAAATAACCAAAACAATCCAAGGTATTTATTTAATACAGTCTCTAGAGACTAACAAATAAAGAGACATCACCTGAACTGAATATTCCATCAGTTTAGTAGTAATAACTTTATGAATTTCTTCACCAAGAAAATCGAAACTATTAGAAATACAATTGTAAATGTACAACCTTTGACTGCATTTTATGATCCAGCCTCAGTTACTGCCCCTAAAGAACAATTGCAGTGCTTTACAAATATAGGACAAGAAGAACTAAATAAACTAATCATTACATCTAAACCAACAACATGTTTACTAGATCCCATTCCCACTAAACTATTGAATGAGTTGTTAACTGTAGCAGAAGAGCCTTTTCTCAATATTATTAATTCATCTCTATCTTTAGGTCATGTTCCAATAACATTTAAGATGGCAGTTCCGTACTGAACTATTGATCAATACAGAAATCAATAGTTCCGTATTGATTTCAAAATATTGCTACTGACCTATAAGGCACTAAATGGTTAAGCTCCTGTATATTTAACTTATGCATTATCCCTATGCCCTATGTCCTTATTCATCACGCTCTTTAAGGTCACAAAACTCTGGACTTTTAGTAGTACCTAGGATATCTAAGTCCACTAAAGGAGGGAGATCATTTTCTCATCTGGCTCCCAAACTCTGGAACAGTCTTCCTGATAATATCCGGGGCTCAAACACACTCTCTCTGTTTAAATCTAGATTAAATACACATCTCTTCAGCCAATCTCACCCTTGTTCCCATTTAGATCAGATAAGTCACAAACATATTTTTAGCTTGAAACGTTGTTATGTCTCGGCAGGTGTGTCTTCGTCTCTCTCTCTCTCTCTCTCTCTCTCTCTCTTTCTCTCTCTCTCTCTCGCTTTTTCTCCCTCCCTGTCATTTTTATTAGGATCAACCCCTCAGGACTGCTATTGGCTTAGGAGGCTGTCAATCTTTATTAACTTGAGTGACGTCATGGCCTCCGCTGCCAATCTGGGCCATCGCCAGTGTTTTAAAAGAGACATCTAGATGAACGCCAAGCAGAGGCTACTTTGGTTTTCTGCTCCGTTCTAGTGTTTGTTAATCTGCCTCTCTCTTTTTGTTGTGGTGTTTTGTGTCATATTTTCCTGTTATATTTTAAGGTGTCATCTTGTTTAATCTTGTGATTATTTTCGGTATTGATGTTTGCTGATGACAACCTTCGCTTTGCCTAAGAGCTTTGGACAGATAATATGTCACGTGACGTACACGCTACAAACATCTAGCGATTCCCATGTATAGACACATCAGGTTAGAAGTGAGCGCTGTTTATGTATTTTTCTGTTTGGTTAGCTTAAAGTAGGTAAGTAAGGGTTTGTAAATGCCGAAGACTTGCTTGAAATTGAGTTAGATTGGTTTTGTTTTGTTATTTTCTTTTCTTTAGCGCCACTTGCGTCCTTTTCTCCTGTGGGTTTATTTTGTTTTGATTTTCTAATGTAAATATTGTATATAATTTACTTAATCTTTTGTTAATCCCGCTTCTTTATTGTTACTATTACCTTTATTATTATTGTTGCTGTCATTAATATTGTTATATCTTACTTTACCTTAATTTTGTAAAATAAATTATCTTTTGTTGGCACTTTTGGTTGTGCATTGTCTCTTGCCACCTGCATTGCCGCAAAGCTGGTCACAATCTCAATGTTACTACTTCCATCCCTAGACTATAAATTAAAAGTTCGTAACAAACGTTATGAACAGCAGCTACTCTAATTTTTTTCTATCTGCCTTTCTGTTCCTACCCCGGGATGCCCATCTCGAGGTCTCTAGAGATTACACCAGCTCCAGTGTGGATCCAGCCTCATAGAAAGACTTCAGATGACCCAACAGCTGTGAAGAGATGATGCTGACCCCTGCGAGGACCCCAAATGACGCCAACTTGAATCGATATGCACAACTGCCAAAATTTCTCCATATTGTAATCATGATCACACCTGTAATAATCACTTTAATGAGCTTCTGCTTGAAATTAATTCATGTTAGCTAACTGTATGATTCTATTATCTTGAACTGTTAATGTGTCAAATGAACATTACTTGGACACATTCACTTCTGACAACAGATCACTCTAAATTGTAATGTAGACATATGCATTTTCTGTAAAGTGCTATACAAATAAATTTGAATAGAATTTAATTGAATTAATAGACTATGAGTGTTGAGCAGCTCAGAGCATTTGCTCTTGGGAGAAATTGATGAGAAAAGTTTTGATTGCAGACTTTGGCAGATCAGTTTGAGATACTGTTGAAATCTCCTCTGTGGTCTAAGAATTTCTGGAAAGCGAGAGACATCAAGCAAAAACGACTTCATTTGCATTCTCAGATTTGTGTTATTTCTACTATCACACTTTTCTCCAAAGAGTTTCAGATTCTGCATTACACATCTCATTTCAGAGGCAGATGATGTGATTATTAGAGTTCATCTGCTTATCACATTTTCACTTATCACATTAAGTTGGTAGCTTACTTCTCTTTGTGATGTTTTGTAGGGTTAAAACACAATGAGCCATAGTAAAGAAAACTTTTTTTTTTTATATAGCGCTTGTGTGAATTTGTGCATTATTTGACCAGTGATCATTGACTGTCTTTAGCAGCATCAACTTTCAATAACTGTAGCCATTGTTTAATGGATATTATTTTTCCTATTGAACACACTTCAAATTAGTGTTTACTATTGTCACTTTGCATTATTGACCCACTATTTTCCTAATTAATGTTGTACAGTTGCTTTGACACAATCTGTATTGTTAAAAGTGCTATATAAATAAAGGTGACTTGACTTGACTTGACTTGACACTATTGTTTTGGTGATATTGGGGGAATATATATTTATTTTCCATTGATTTAGCGTTCTGTATTATCTGTTTTATTATATAAAGTACTGTGTATGTTTTGTAAATACTGTAAATGTCTGAAAATGACACCAACAAATATTTTGACTCTATTACTCTATTTATATAGGTCTTCGCTAGTAGGTGGCCATAAATTAGTATGTTTTTATGTTATTAGCGTGTCATTCAATCAAACCGAACCAAACCCGTCCCTTCACGGGCACCGTACACACGCCATTCCACTGCGCTGATGTCTATTGTTTTATGTCAGGGGCTGCGTTCCACTCCACTTTTAGACACGCACTTGCAAACTTCCCTAAGCACTTCCCCTCGGGGGAATCCCCTCTGCCATTTTGAAGTGCGTTCCACTTCGTGAAGTGAACGAGGTAAGTTAATATGGGCAGACCCTCGACCCCTTCATATGCACACTTCAGGCCACTCCACAGACCACAATGCAACACGATTGTGACGTCATCGCAGATCGCATTTAATTTATCCCCACCCTAAACAACTCTATAATATATAAATTATTTTTTAAAACATTTATAAAAGCCCAAGCATAGTCAAGTCAAGTCAAGTCACCTTTATTTATATAGAGCTTTTAACAATACAGATTGTGTCAAAGCAACTGAACAGCATTAATTAGGAAAATAGTGTGTCAATAATGCAAGAGATACAACCATGATCAGATGATAAGAGCAGGTCATTTGTAACTCTAATGAGAGCAGTCTCAGTACTATGATACGGTCTAAGTCCTGACTGGAAATCCTCACAGATACCATTTTTCTCTAAGAAGGAATATAATTGATATATTCATAGAAAACTTGTTTCTCTGGATAATGTTATATTGAAGCACCATTACTTCAAACGTATACTTGAAACCCGCCCTCTGAGAAATACTGAAAATATTGTTATAAATTGAAGCAACACCTCCCCCTTTACCTTTTGGATGTGGCTCATGTTTACAACAGTAATCTTGGGGGGGAAGACTCGTTTAAAATAATGTAATCATCAGGTTTTAGCCAGGTTTCTTTCAAACAGAGCACCATATCATTTACAAAATACCTATATACATATAGAATGCTGCACCAAACAAATCCGTAAAGGGAAAAATGTTAACAATAAACCAACTCTATAGCAGATTCTAAGTGATCAAGGTCTTAGGATGTTCCAATTCAGCCCATTCCAAGGGTTCCGCCAGTAGTGGGCACTCATGCAACATAATCAATGACGTACATCCGAGGGAATGAGACGGAGTGAAGGGCATAAAAAAACAGACTGGAACGCAGCCAGGGATCTCCAACCCAGCTTCAACTCACCTGCCTGTAATTATCAAGTAGCCCTGAACACCTTGATTAGCTGCTTCAGGTGTGTCCTGGAGATCAGGACAACTAGATGAGCCCCAGAGACAGATCCCCAGTAAAGACCTTGTCTCCTAGACGGCCACCGGGACAAGACCACACTATTTTCCTAATTGATGCTGTACAGTTGCTTTGACACAATCTGTATTGTTAAAAGCGCTATACAAATAAAGGTGACTTGACTTGACTTATTTGATTAGGGTTGGAGAGGAAATCTGCAGGACAGTAGCTTTCCAGGAACAGGGAGACTTCAGTTTTATGTAAACATGCCTAGACCAGTGGTTCTCAATTCCAGTCCTCGAGACCCCCGCTCTGCACATTTTGCTTGTCTCTCTAACATATCTGATTCAGATCACCAGCTCCATGCATGAACTGTGTTCCGATTGACAGGGTGCCTACACAGTGTTCATTGCTCCCTACTCCCTGAGCACAGGAAATCCTTTGAAGTTTATATCACTGCGGAACATTCATTCACGGATTTGCACTAAGCCACGGCCTGCAGCATCTTCACACACAGACAAAACTTAATAGAGAAGTGTGAAGTGTGACATAATATACCTCTGTAAATAAATACAATTTAAATTCACGTCTCGCGCACTTTAATGCCCTTTGAATGGAACATATACATATGCTCCCTTCGAACTGGAATCATGGTGGAATATCATGTAAAGTCCACTTCGTAGGGCGCTTATGAAGTGATAAGTGATAAGAAGTGATAAGAAACATACAAAATGTGCAGAGCGGTGGTACACGAAGACTGGAATTGAGAACCTGCACATTGAATGTCTTTGATCTTTGCGCGGTGCTCTGAAGCTGAAAAAACAAACAAACAAAAAAACAAAACAAAGCAAAAACAAACTATTGCATCCTTAACATGGGTTTTTTCCCCATCCCACTGCCCTGCGTGTGAAGTTTATAAAAGCAAAAATGCGTTCTTCTGTGTGTATGCTGTTCACATTCATGATTTGACATAATTCGGTTTAATTTGTGTGAACGGGTGGTGTGATTACTTAAAACACTATGCTTACATAGTGTTTTAAGTAATCACAAAGTGACATATCGTCACTTCCTGTTTGTTGCTGCCGTGTGTTTTGAGTTTGAGCTCCGTCAAGTTAATTCTTTGTTGTCTAATTTTTTATCTTAAAATCAATTTTATACACCATCATTTTTGTTTCTATAACGTGTGAATATATCCCCTATCGTATTCTACAACAACAAAAACAATCAGAGCGCCTTATCACTAGTTTTATTTTGATTTACCGAGTCCGCTATTAGCAAATAGCCCGCTAGCATCGCCAGCATGGTTGCCGCTAATCTCGCTTACATTACTAATACTCTATTCACACACATTACCATTGTTTTACTCACTGTTACTTGCTTTAATGGCGGATGTGTGTCTACCTTTGAGTGCAGGTGAGGACACGTTCAAGCTGCATTCGGTGCAGCTCGAGCTGGAGGCCGTGGAGAAGCAGATCCGCGACCTGGTGGAGAGGCAGACCCAGCTGAGAGAGCGGAGAGCCGCGCTTGACTTGACTTGACTTATTTGATTAGGGTTGGAGAGGAAATCTGCAGGACAGTAGCTTTCCAGGAACAGGGAGACTTCAGTTTTATGTAAACATGCCTAGACCAGTGGTTCTCAATTCCAGTCCTCGAGACCCCCGCTCTGCACATTTTGCTTGTCTCTCTAACATATCTGATTCAGATCACCAGCTCCATGCATGAACTGTGTTCCGATTGACAGGGTGCCTACACAGTGTTCATTGCTCCCTACTCCCTGAGCACAGGAAATCCTTTGAAGTTTATATCACTGCGGAACATTCATTCACGGATTTGCACTAAGCCACGGCCTGCAGCATCTTCACACACAGACAAAACTTAATAGAGAAGTGTGAAGTGTGACATAATATACCTCTGTAAATAAATACAATTTAAATTCACGTCTCGCGCACTTTAATGCCCTTTGAATGGAACATATACATATGCTCCCTTCGAACTGGAATCATGGTGGAATATCATGTAAAGTCCACTTCGTAGGGCGCTTATGAAGTGATAAGTGATAAGAAGTGATAAGAAACATACAAAATGTGCAGAGCGGTGGTACACGAAGACTGGAATTGAGAACCTGCACATTGAATGTCTTTGATCTTTGCGCGGTGCTCTGAAGCTGAAAAAACAAACAAACAAAAAAACAAAACAAAGCAAAAACAAACTATTGCATCCTTAACATGGGTTTTTTCCCCATCCCACTGCCCTGCGTGTGAAGTTTATAAAAGCAAAAATGCGTTCTTCTGTGTGTATGCTGTTCACATTCATGATTTGACATAATTCGGTTTAATTTGTGTGAACGGGTGGTGTGATTACTTAAAACACTATGCTTACATAGTGTTTTAAGTAATCACAAAGTGACATATCGTCACTTCCTGTTTGTTGCTGCCGTGTGTTTTGAGTTTGAGCTCCGTCAAGTTAATTCTTTGTTGTCTAATTTTTTATCTTAAAATCAATTTTATACACCATCATTTTTGTTTCTATAACGTGTGAATATATCCCCTATCGTATTCTACAACAACAAAAACAATCAGAGCGCCTTGTTATCACTAGTTCTATTTTTGACTTCC